TAAATTATGTGGTTATAGGTAGTAGGTACATAAATAATAAAACACCTATTAATAAATCGAAGATAAAATTACCTACTTTCGTGAGAAGGCTATTGCGTTTCCAAAGTATAAGGCGCACAATTTAATATTTGGGTATTAACGCAGCACATCAATAATGCTATGCTAAGTACATAATTTTAAAATAAGATTTTGTCATATAAAATTCTTTGCAACTGAAATTTGTTTTCTTCAAAATCATATTTTATCGATGATTCTCACTAGGCTATAACAGCTTTTAAAAAATTTTACCTTTAACATTTTAACTACGCTAAGCACAATATTTATTTATGATTATTTAGTCTCCCAAATATTTATTTTATATTAATTTTATTTTCATAAAAATAATTCTGTTAAATTCGTGAAAAAAATTTATTAGTTTTTAAAATTTAGATTGTTATTGTCATTGCAGCACGTAACACTTGTCCAAGAATAAAAATATTGATACAAAATATTACGTATTGCTACACTATAGATTGTCATTTACACAAAATAATACAAATTGTATAGTTATTGTGTACCTAGAAAAAAAACCGGCGAAATCAAAATTTTTTTTAAAAAAAAACTTAAAAAGAATATTAAAAATTTAGTATTTTTTGCCAATTTAAAATTTTAAAAGGAAAAATGAACATAATATAATATTTTAGTGATTTTACAATGATGTGTTTTATTTTTACGTATGCCTTAACCATTTTTAGTAGAAAATATAAATGATTTCTGATAGACAATTAAATTTAATTCACAGTTTGGTAGATAAAAAGTGAAAATTTCCAATACTTTTCATAATAATCAGAAAAAAACAAAAATATTATTAGGGAAAACCGAACTTTTTACACAAAACACATTTATGATTACAATATCTACTTACTTTGTATATTTTTTTTTTGTAATTTAAAAAATAATGATTTAAGTGACTTAAAATGTTCAACAAATATTTATATCAATATTTTCCAGTTATGAATCATCAAACACATTTCATAATAAGTTAGTATTTGTTGTGTTATTTATAAACTTTTTTTCGATTTATATATTATTATCGGGTTACCCGTCGCAGCTCTGTCTGCGAAATTGTAATAAGTTTATTATAATAAAAAATAATTATTTAAGACTACAATTTTAAAATAAAACTTCTCGATACATTTGATGAGTCTATTTGGTGCCTAAATTACTAAACTTGAGGGTGTACTAACACTAAAATATTAAAACACTGTCCAAGAGTTTAAAAATTTGAGCTAGAAGCTCACGACTAAAAAGTGATGATTTATTGAAATGTTTATAGGTATAAAATTTACACGGAATTTTTGATATTTGCCGATTACAACCTCTTAAAATCAAAGTTTTGAAAAATCTTTTCTTAGTGCACTGTGACATTATAATATTAATCTATATCCAAAATTTAAAATCGACAGCTTTAATAGGTTCGACTCTACACATAGATTATGAATCAGTTACTCAAGAAAGTCTAGTTTATAAACATAAATGATAATATTCTGGATTGTGACTTGTGAATAAATTAGTTAAAAAATTAAATACATGTTTCTTCATAAATTGGTCTTATCATTGAAAAAAAAAATATATATATTTTTTTATTTACGTTTAAATCTTTAAATGTTTACAAAGCTCGTTAATAACACAAAATATTTAAAATATTTTATTTTTAAAAATAAAATGAGTTTTAAATTTTAACATCTATAAGATATTATGACAATGTAATAAAAACTTTTTCAAACATTCCTAATTTAATATAAATTAGCATTAATTACTTAAATAATTTATGGACAATAATTTGAATTATTGAAGTTTAAATTTTTACTATAATTCAATAAATATTAAACATAGAAATTTGAACCATTCTACTTCTGCTTATATTATTATTTATTATAGACATTTATTATGTTTTCGAATTTTTTTTTATGTAATACATTTTTATACTTATTGAAAAGCATAAATTCATAGATGATTTAAGAATTCACATAAACTATTTTATAACAATTCAAAAATATTATATTTTTAAAACATTTGATATCTACTAAACAAAAAATAACCATGAAAGGTATTTTTTTGTAATTTAAAAACTACTATTCTTTCGATCTTAAAAATGTCGGCTATTATTTATATTATTATTTAATAAGCAAAATGGTATTTAAAATATTAAGATTAACTTAAGTTAATAATTGCTAATAATATTAAGATAAAATGCTTTGTTTTTGACTAAAATTACTTAAATCTAATAGAAAAGAAATAATTTACGCATAGACATATAAATATTACTTTATGAAATGTCCTTAGAAATAAAGGCTAATAAATCATCTTTACAGTTCAGAAACGAATTATTTATTTGTCCTTTGATTTATTGTTAAATTCAAATTTAATACATCTTAACCATTCGTTTATCACTTTCCTTACCTACTTAATTACGAGATTCACAATAAAACTGTCATACACAGCAATTTTTAGGAAAAAAACAAATTTTAAATGCAAATAATGCATAATATATCATAATGTAGAAATAAAGAATATCTATTAAATTTATATAATTTTCATCTATAATATATAACTTTTAATTTATAATAATGTTCTATTATTCACAACGAGCTCTAGTTGTAAACAATATATGTATATATAACATCCATTAATAAAAAATACGTATGATGATATGCATTATATTATTTTCACTGACATAAAAACTAATAATTTTTTATCATAATCATATGCATACCATATCACACCTCCACCGTTAACACACATCGTTTTAACCGCACATGTGATGGGAACAGCGTGATCTAATAATTGTGTAAACTTTCACAGGAATATAATTCAAAATAAATTTAACCTACTGTAATTATTGAAATTGCGTTGTAACATACGCTGCAATACGATGGTAGCTACTGTAATTATTTGTATGGTTAAAGGTACTCGTTAATAAATAACAATCGTTACATTTTACCGATTAATTGTAAATAGCTATAAATACATTTTAATGTCTGACTGGTTATTACGTAGGTACCTATTATAAACATTTTCCCCTTTAATTATCTATAGCTATCCTTTGATTTTTCATCATTTATGTTTACAAAAAAATAAATATGATTTTATCATGTTTTGTGTATACATCAAATCATATAATAAATAAATTGATGGTTTTAAAAGTCCCATATACTTTCCTAATTAGTTAAACGGTCATTATAATTTTATTCAATAAAAATACCACATCTAATATAATATACTAATATGTGTCTTCACTCAACATATCTAGTAGTTCCCATCAAACGAGTTATAACTTAACAAAGCATTATCATTTATAAAAGTCTATACGTATAGATTATTCTATTGTATTGTAAAAAGGTAAGTTATAATTTAATAATACGTTTAAATACAAAATTAATTGATTTCTGTACGCTCTGTTAATAAAAAAAAAACGTTAGTAAAAAAACGCTATTACGAACAGAATATGAATATTTTGAACATAATAGTACATAATAGTATATGTGTACTAAACTATAGTATGCTTTTCATGTACCATTCAGCGTTCATACGAGTACATTGTATAATACAATTTATCTAGTGCCTACTTTATAAAGTTTTTACAATTAATTTCTTTTAAAATGTACACAAGTTTCATTAATAGTATTCATGCAAATGCAAATAAATACATATTTTACAATAGTAAAAATAAACAAAGATAATTAAGTTGTGTAGTCGCAGTAAATATTCAAATAGGTATTAACTTTAAAATGTATTAAATCGTTAATTATTAAAATAATTCTAAACAACATGTAGAATGCCATTTTGATATTTGACTTTTATATCATTGTTTAAAAATTAATTTAACTACTTATAAAGGCACAGTAAGTATTTACAGTAAATTCAGATATATTGTGATAATAGTGAGGCTTTGGATTTAACTAATTTGCATGTCGGTTTCATCACTGTGTACAGAACAGCCAAATTTGGTAAAATTATTTGGTTTAAACTATTAGATATTATAGATATGGTAGTATATACAAAGAATTTTAATGTCAATCGTTGAATCGTTAACGGAGTAAAATTATATACGTATCAAATTATCGAAAAACTCATAAACTCGAGTTTACGACTTATCAACACGATTCAACCCATCTTAAAATAGCACGTCATGTCATCGTTCGAATTATGTACTTTATTTTCTTTTTTTATATTTATCTGGGTTACATTTCGTTTGAAGACGGTTTAGCGATTGCGATTTTACTCGTTGTGGGGAAGTTCATTTTTTTTTTTAACGGTGAGAGTCAATTCCGATATAGCAATTTTTTTTCGATGTAATCACTACGAATACATTCGATGTTTTGATTTATACGCATTGCACTATCGCCGTAGTTAGCACATTAAAATAGCTGATGAATAAAAATGTCATCGTACGCCTATTGACCGGACGATAACGACGGTCCGCGCGGTCCGGACAAAGGTGGGACTCGAAATCGAACCGTGGCCAATTTTTTCGTGTGTTGATAATCCGCAAGTCCCGCGACGGTCGCAGTAAAGAGTATCGTCATAGCGGCTCAGCGGCCAAAAACCCGACACCGATATCCGCGATCTCAACCGATAATACTATCGCACACGTGATATGGGCGTATGCGACGTGTGTGGTGCACTTGCGGGCGCATTATAGTTTCGCGCGATTATCGTTATTATTATTATTTATTGCACTTTCGCATCGGTCGTCACGCAGGGTCGGATACGTTCTTTTTAGATTTGTTTTTTCTGTCACCAATAATCCGCCTCTCTCTCTTTCTCGTCCGTTTCTGTTTGCGGTCGCGAAACTCAGCGATTATCGCGGCCCGGCGACAGCAAACACAGAGTGACGATTACAATAGGTGTACGCCGCCGACGGACGAGAACGAGTGAAGAAGAAAAAAAAACGACTGCGGTCGTCGTCACTTAAATACGGACGTCCTGCACAAAAGCGGATCACACGTTGACGTCAAGCCGGACGAACAGTAACGCACGGACAAACAAACAAACAAACAAACAAACATGTCGTCGTCGATGTTCGCCGCGGTCCGATCGCGGTGCCTGTGCGTCGTAGTGGCGTCGGTGTTGCTGCTCCAGTCCACGTGCCGGCCGGTCGCCGGTGCAGCGGTCGTCCCGTTGGCCGTGGTCAGGGCGGCGTCCCAGTGCACGGCCGCGCCGGACGCAGTCGACTGTCTGATGCGAGCCGCGTCCACCGGCGTCGACGCCTTGACCCGGTCCGCCGAACCCGTCGACCTGGTTCCCGGTTGCGTGACGCTCGTCAAGAACGCCGCCGGCGAGTCGGACCCGCCGCCGGCGCAGACGTCACCGTCGTCATCGACGTCGCAGACGGCCGCAGACGTGGACGCCGGTTCGGCGCTCGTCGACTCGTTGACGGCGTTCGTCAAGTCCCGCGCCATCAGCGTCCGGGCACCTGCCCACTTTTTGGACTCGCTCAAAAGCACTCTGATCGAAGGTAATTAAAACTGAATAAATCGTTTCACAGTATTTATTATGATATAGTTACTCCTCAACGACGCGATCGACCGCATTCGCGCCAACCTTATCGTCCGGCCGCACTTGTTTTCCGTCGAAATATTGTTTATTTTTTTACCCCTTTTCTGCGCAAGGTACTTGTAAATATTTGCGGAATTATATTCGGAAACTTTCAACGAAATACTTTTAGTACACGTATAACAGGTACACGGGAAAAAAAAAATTTTTCTTGCCATCTGTAAACTTCCCATTTGTTCGCGTACAATAATTTAAAGAATCAAGTTTATGAGATCATTTGATAAATAATACTATTTAATGACATTTAAACATCACGATTTTTATTTGAGTGATCAATAGATTTGACTTCATTTATTTATATAGTATTTCATTTAATAATTTCTATTTAAATCGGACGTATAATGCGTACTTAACTGTCTATACTCAATTTCCGCGGTAGACATTATGGCAACCGATTAGTGTGAAATGTAAAAAATAATATTTTAAATTTTAGAGAAAAAAGTGTAAGCTACTATTGTAATATTAATGCGTTGAACAGAACTGTATAAATAATAAATAATACGATTTAGTGAAATGGCCCAAAAATATTTCTTAGGGGTTTTTTTTTTTAATACAAGCGTCAAGTGGTTTACAGAGTATCAATACATTATAATTTGATAATAACAATGGATAATTACAGCCCTCATATTTTAATATACTAAATAACTTTTCGTCTAATACATACTAGTCAAACAGAAATATTGTCGGTCCGTTCGCAAACATTTTTGTCAATTTTCACTATAATTTCCATTTTTTAAACGCTAATTATTCGCTGGTTGTAAACAATTTTTGATTATTTTTAAATAATTTTATTTATACAATAAATCCACAAGCGAAATTTGGGGGGGGGGGGGGTTTGATGTGCTTAGCACCAACAGTTTTTAAATTAATATCCCCTCATTATAGTTATTATATTTATACTATGTATAATTAATTATTTATTTTATTTTATATTAATAAATTATCAATTAATAGAGCATTTACAATACAAATTCTTTATTAAGTATAAAACTATTGAATCCCGCGTGAGGGCGAGTCGAAGAAATTTATCACACATAGTATTGTCCAGTTACACCTCAATTTTTTTCTCTTTAATTGCACTTTAGAGTAAACAGTGTACCACAACGATATAGCCGTAAAATAGGCATTTGAACGTTTAAACATGAACGGACAAAATCGTAGTCATGCGAAACCAATTCCAGTGACTGATTCGAGGCGCCATGTCAAATTTTATTTGAGTATATAAGCTATACAGTTAAAATAAGTGCTGTTATAACTTATAAAGCGATATATTTAAAAAAAAATTTGAATCACTTAACATTTAAAGTATTTCATTTTCAATACGTTTATAATTGTTCGTTATAATTAGTTCGTGTTTTAAGTGCAATGTGCAAATAGTAACGGGAAAAAAGTGTTTAATTAGCGATGAGTACAGGTGTACAAGTATCAATTAAATAAACCTCCCAAATAAATAATACACTTTATCAACGATAGTTTTGTTGAAAAATGACAACAACAAAAATGTAACATTCTATGTTAATATATCTATATATATAACATTACCTAAATTGATTTATTATTCATTTTAATCCTTTGCGAAATACTCGTGTCATACACGGTTAAGTAAAAATTCACGCCATTCAAATGACTCACTACCGAAACGTTAAAGTACATTTTAACGGACACCGTACCCGTGCCGGAAAGGGACAAAAAAAAAAAAATCTAACTCAAACTACCCCGCAAATGTGTCAATGTCGGAGTAGGATTAGGTTAGACGTTAGGTTGACCAAACCGCGGTTGAACATCGTTTCGCCATCGAAACATAAATCGGACATGGTAAAATATCTGTTCACGAGAGATATGAATAACGTAAGCAAGCAAACAAATAAATGATAAACCTTTTTTGTGGGCCTTTTCAGCGCGAGGCAAAAAGGACAAGTATGCGGGACCGCTGCTGATGGGCGCCATGATGGTGGCCGGCACGCTGTTGCCGATCAAGCTGGGCGCCCTGGCCATGATGAGCGGTAAGGCGCTGATGACCAGCATGCTGGCGCTCATGCTGTCCGCAATACTAGCGCTGAAGAAACTGGCGTCGGGCGGCAGCAGCCACGGCGGCACCACGTACGAGGTGATCAATGTGCCGACGCAGGGCGGCCACGGGCCCCACGGCCGTTCGCTCGGAGCACACGCCATGGCGTATGGTCCGCCGCCACCAGCGGAAATCTCTCCGACGCCCACGCAATCCACCGACGGGCTACAATGATTTTTAAGGCGACAAAATTGTTTTTCGTACCTTATTAATTACTATAATACTATATATTAATGCCTAATTTATTTATTATTATTTATTGTAAAATTTTATGTGAACGCTAAAATATAAAATGTATAACGTATCACGTTGTTATTTTTTAGTGGTTATATTTATTATATTCATACTCAACAGCACTATTACGTGATCAGCTAAATCATAAGTGTGTTGATTTTATTATTATTATTATGGTCATCGATTTGTGAGATTATAAACCTTTGTAAACAATAATACGAGTATGTTCTTATAATACCTACATTTTTTTTCCTTGCAAATAAAATCGAAAAATAATGCTTTTTATATCGATACAAGTACTTATTTGCGTCCGTTATTGTTTTTGAAAATTCGTATTTCACGGTCACCGACCTAATCCATAATATGTGTTGGTGGTATATTATTACACATATAATAATAATAATAATAATAATATATTATAGATTATCGTTACCGATATAAAATGTGCTGTCGTCCGACCGACTTGTCAAATTATGTGTGAAATAGGTACATGTAAGATAATAATATGACCACAAAATGTATCGATATGGAAAATACACCGTGCACCACGATAATAATACAATATGTTATATTGTATACCTATATGAATGCACGTGTAACAGTCAGAATGTTTACATCAGTATTTTCGTTTACCATCGACAAGACGCTCGTGTCATTTTTGTTTTCACCCCAAAACATGGCAATTTTGTATTTAATATAGCTAATCTTATGTCTTAACCAATTTATACAATATAATATAAGTGTGAATTTACTCAACATCAAAATTTAAGTTGAAAACATCATAATATGTGATCGTACTTTAGTTTTTTTTCGATATTTAAATGTTTCTACAATATGGGTATATGATCATTCTTAAATTTTTATAATGCTTTACATAGGCACTCATAACTCACATCATGCAATATTTACATTTGCGTGATGTGGATTAAAATATAGCGAAAAATCTATCGTGTTTTCACAGCTAGTAATGGTTTTAATTTTAAATATAATATAGTAAATCAATTTACTCCAATAATAAAGCTAATAACACAAGGATATTATTATTACTTATTATAGACGTAGAACTGAAATATGACATACTTATACATATTAAAAAGAGAAAACAAATATTCTCTAAATTAAGTAAAATATTACTTTTTAATACATATGTCTCGTGAGCTTACTAGAAATTTCCGTACAACAGAATATAATTCGAAGTTAGGTTCAAGACATTGGTGATTAGCCAATATTATTATATATATATATATAAATATATTGTTCTATTTTATTTAGTGATCTAATATTATAAATGCGTAATATTATATAAATACATAGTGCTATGATAATACTAAACTTTATAATACCTATATAAACAGTTTAATGTCAAAATTAGATTATAATTGTTATTCATTTGACTTTTAAAATATTTTTACCGATACCCTCATTTTTTTCTTTAAAATATTAAATTTTTTTTTATAAATGTTGACAATACTGACTTGATCTATATTGTACAGATAATACATAATACTATATATCTATACAAACATACATAATATGTATTTAACCGTAAAAAATAAATAACAACGATAAACAACTATCTTCAATTTTGTGGGGTATAATATTTTGTTTTTAAGTCACAATTAAACTATATATTATATATATGTTTCTATGTTTGTTATTTAATTCCTGGATTATAAATTTAAATTAGTTGTATGATATTCTGGTAAGGATATAAATTGATTCATTGATTTTATTTTGATAAAAATTGAGTCATTAGCTTTTAAGATTATGTATACTTCAACCAAAAACTGCAAATAAAAGAAAAATAAAAGTTTTTGTGATAAGGTGCACTACGCTCTAGTGAGCACATCAATATGATCATTTTTAATTTTCTTAATGTTTGTAAAAACATAAATGTATAAATATTATATATTAATATACGACATTGATTTAAAAATCGTATCTTAAAAATTCACAGTAATTGTACATGTAAATATTTATAGTTTTATCGAATTTTACATTAGGTATTTAATCATATTACAATATTATAACTGATTAGAGTTTTCCCGATAATTACACATTTTATTCATGTATTTATAAATTAATTGATCTAAAACTGTGTATCATTCATCACGCAACTTATTGGTTAAAGAAATTTTCATTTCTATAACATATTAATATAGTTTTTTAGAGCATATTGAGACCACAAAAAAAATAAATAAATAATAATAATAATAATAACGAAGTATATTGTTTAGTGAACCATCACTAAGGCGTTTCTTTGAAGTTGATTATAATATATCTATGATTGTGGCCAAATTATTTGTATTATTTATTGATCAAACATTAAAACAAAAATATCACACAATTTTTTTTAGAATCTGAGCGGAGCAATGAGTGTATTGATTTTACAATGGTTATATGTGCTTTTTTAATTATTTTATTTTTTTACTGCCATCACCTTTTGTGGCAGTAAAAATGTCATTTTATCAATTATTATCTGGAGCTACCAGTTGGATGTGAAAAGTTTTTTTTTTGAATTTTATACCCTTATTTTTATTTTTATTACTTAATCATGTTATACACCTATTTAGTGTAATACATCATTTTATGTAGACATTTTCTTATTTCTTTACATAAATACTGAATATAGATAGTATTATATTTAATGTGTGGTTTTAAATTCGTAAAGCGTATCAATGTAGTTTTTCGATAGTATGAAACAAATAATAAATAGTAATGATATATGATGTTTGTCAACTAGTTTTTAAATTTTCAAATATCTTGAATATCACGTACGATGTGACCGACTTTTAAATTCATAGGCAATAAGTATAGTACTTTTATAAAATGCAATGGTTTTATATGTAACTTAAACTTATATATTAACTTTATTTATTATAGAAAATTTCTAATAATTATACAAATATATATTTTACATCAATAACTGCGCTCTGAGGTATTTTATTGAAATACAATTATAAATTATATACATTCCATATGAAAAATAAACTTGTTCATACTTAAAATAAAGCAAAGGCATATAGTAGGTATGTTTAATCATACTTATTTATAGATCAAAAATAAATAATAAAATAGCTAGTCATAAAGTATGTTACAAAGTAATGTCTTTGTCTATTCAGTAGTTGAAATGTATATACATTTTTGCATGATATATTCTCTGGTTAAATTATGGTCCGATTGAAGAACAATAAATTCAAACAGTAGTTATATAACTATCTATTTTGTCTAATTAAACAGTTATTTTTTTTTATACTTTGTAAAAACAGTTACAATATAATAATTAACTATATAGATACTCAATATTATGGGTAGTTAAGTCTTAAAAAAGTAATATTTATTAATACAATGATAATGTATCTGATTCATTCAATAAAATACGAAGAAATCATACTGATTTATCAGTTTTTATTTAGGAAGTTTACGCGTGACACTTTAAATGTAAAGTTTGCTAGCTTGCTAGCTTGTTCAATTCGTTTGGATAACAAAAATATTAGTAAAGTGTTAATATTAACGAATTTATTGAAGAATATATTATGCACATTGTTTTTCAATAAATAAACTAGAACTCTCGAATTTGAATGCGAATTATTTAGATTCACGTAATCACGTGTTTTTGTTTACGTGTATTAAAATATAAACACCCGTGAATTTAACTCAAGAGCATTTAAAACATAATATTTACTGAACATATTAAATTATAATAAAATATTTAAAAAGATATGTTAATAATTTCGCTAAAAAATTAAAAATATCTGTACCTTATATTCTAAAAACAAATGATTCATTAACAATATTATTATAAATGGCAAGATAGGTGGAGTAATGTGTATTTACTGCATACACAACTAGGACGTGATAATTCCTACAAACGATACGAACCGATCGGCACATACGCTATGGCTTAATTTATTTATTTTTACGTGTTTTATTCATGAAATTATGTTTTCATTATATAATTTGTATAATTTTTAATTTTTTTTAAGTGTACGTAAAATGTCAATAGATCGCACATACGTAGATAACTGTAAAATAATCCCATTTTAAAATATTAGTTTTCTCTACACATCCTGGCTCAAAATAAACCATTAATCACAGACATTGCTATGTAGAAACGAGAAAACCATCAGAAGATATTAAATGTATTAGAAATAAAATTCCACGTATAAACGTGTGATTTAATAACTAAATTCACGGATTCACGTGAATTTAACTACACGTGAAACAGAGACCTCTAAAATAAACGTACACATATACGTAGTTAAACGACTATTTACTTAATTTATTTTACGATTTTCTTTATTTTTATATTATAATAAATTTAACTATGTTTTAATTCTGTTGTTTTTACAATACTTTCTAGTCTATAGTGATAATATGTATTGATCATACCAATATCTATTTTTTTTTTTTTTTAATTTTCTTTGTAATTAATCTCAACATTATGTAGGTGTGTACGAAATTAAAATAATTGACAATTCAAACATTAGTTGATTTTTTTTCACTCCTATAATATTACAATGAAATTTTTTATCAATGACTCTAAATACAACAACTATGTACATGAATATCACACGATGGTGAACATAATAATATATAGCTTTTTTCACCCATACATTGACTCTCCTCACGTATTTCGGAGCAGGATCATGTCAATTCAATCTCCATGCCACACAGGACCGAGAGAAGTGCCTTTAAATATTTTTTTTTAGGCCGACGGACAATCCATTAGTGGGGAAAATGGCTTAACAAAACCTTACGATCAGGATCAGTCAAGAAAAAAAAAACAAAACTTCAAGCCACCAACGTGAAAATTATAAACACTGTATAACATAATATTAAACGCTTTATTTTACAAATAAATAATGTTATTGCCAAAACATAATTACAAGATTATATTATTACTTATATAGAAAGTCATTTAATCACACTTATAATAATATAGTCTCATTTTCGTCCTTTTTGGCACCTCTCTTCCCGCCATTCCTTCTGAAGTTATAACATATCAATAAGTTTTACGCCACAAATATAACGAACTACCGCGGGGTTTCGCCGGAAGTGTACCTCTAATATCTGGTATAACATCGTGTTAATTTACGTATAATAACGATCGTACCGTGTCGACGAACAATAACGTCGGCGACGACAAAATACAATAATTATTATTCGGATCTTCGACAAACGAACACGATACTACGCGACAGACAGATACACCTAACCGTACGCGAAATCGCAGCCGTCTAGTCGTTCTTCTCCACCACTGCGATTTTGTCGGGCACTATCGGGCCCGGCTGCGAGTAATATCCGGCCGAGTGGTCGGAACCGCCGCCGTCGTTGTCGTCGTCGTGCTGGTTCTGTTGCCGCGCCGGCCGCACCCCCTTGAAGTACGCGCCCGGCGGATTGGTCTCGCCCGCGTAATAGTTGGCCAACGAGCTGTGCATCTTGGCTTCGGTCTGGCCCTTGTACATGCCCATCTCCTGTTCGAACTGGGTCTCGGTGTAATGGGCCGCGGACGGGGCCGTGTACGACTTGACGTGGCCCGATTCGTGTTTGCTGAACAGGCTCTTCAGGCCCAGCAGCCCGGAAATCGTGATGGCCATCAGACTGGTCATGATCGCCTTGCCGGCCAACATGAACAGCGCGCCGAACGCCAGCGGCATCAGCGTGCCGGCCATCACGGCCACGCCGGCGGCAAGCATGGGACCGAGGTTTTTGTTCTTCTTGCCTCTACCTGCAACCCGATACACGGTATCGAGGAAAAACAAACATTACGTCCGATTATTTATTTATTTTTTTAATAATGTGATAATAATACGTAACATCGTATTATGTAAAAAAATATATATTATCGTCATCGACACGATATTTGGAAATCGTTCGAACGTCATGGATAATCGTAAAAAAAAAAAAAACGTTATATGTGAAGTCGGAGGTTATAATAAGTACTATATAAGTACGTTTAAAAAAGCTTAACGAGGGTTTCCGCCATACACGTTCATCGCGTACATGACGTTCGGGTATTGATGACCGAGTCCGTGGTGTTCGCTACGATCTGTTCTCCTGATTCTCCTAACCACAAATTTTAACTGTATTTATCATTAGATTTCAAACAAACGGTCTACCTTTATACATGAACGAGGTTGATCGGTATATGAGAATGCGTAATGAACAAGTATTTTAACACGGATACCATCAATTAATCGCATATCAAAGGATAACTGTGTAAGTACACGCGAACACGTATAGTAGAAATATGTCTTTATGTGGAATATATAAGATAATATGCACTTAATTGCATTCAGTTAACTCACCGTTGAGGAAAGATGACTTGAGCAGTGACCAAGGAGCGGTGACTTCGTTTGGCAGATCAAATCCGAACGAAAACAATCCGATTATGTTTTGTATCTGCTCTATGAGGTATTCTTCAATGCCTTTGGACTGCTGTTGGAGAATACCACCGCCGCTGTCGCCCAATTTGCCGTCATCGGCGGCGGCTGAAACGTCTTCCCTTCGACTCGCAGCGTACAGCAATGCATTCTTGAGTAGACTTTTGAATAGACACGTGCCCGGACCGTCGGCGGCAGTGCATCGAAACACGCCGAACGACCTTTCCGGACCAGTATCACTGTGGACGGACGACAACCGCACGGCAACCATGATCCCGACGAGGCACCACTTAATGGCGGACATGTTCGACGTCAAATAATGTTGAATATATTATTATAAATATAACAATATACAAGCCCGGTCGCTCAGGTTGTCGTTCGGATGAATCGAAACTCGCACTGATACAGTTGCAGACGTCGCGCTACATATATATAACTTTCGGTGGGATGTCGTTTCTATTTTTCGATTAGTTTTCGGTTTTTGTTTTTTTTTTCTATCATCAATATTTAATTGGCCAGTCAACTCGTCGCGCGAAACTAATGAACAAAATCTGCCGATGCGGACTCCGTACAATATTGTTTATAATAGACTGCCGCAAAATGACATAAATTTATATCATTTATAGGTGCACGTGGATGTATTTTAATACTAAGTACACGTTTTGAAGAGTATGTGGGTATATTATAGGCGTACTGCAGACATACTTTCGATCAGAACCTACATGTCTGGAAGTGCGTGACGATTTTCGACCGCAACAGACAGACGCATGTTAGCCGCAGCACCCGACTATTTTTATGATACTTACGCGGCGGCCGACGGTAAGTTCATGTTCAATTTTGTCTTGCTATATCACAGTACAATTCCCGTCGCGTTAGTTGACGGGATAACCGTCATGAAGTCACGGAAATTGAGTTTTGCGATTTTCGTGGCTCTGTCGTTACAGACTATCCGAGTAGATACACAAAATTTACCCTGTTCGGTTTGTCCAAAGGCTATAAGTGCCATCAACATCAACAACACCATCACTGACATCAATAAAATCTTCAATGACGACACTTCACTGAGCCAGGAACAACAACAAGAGATCGCTGCCGGAAGTCTAGATCCGTTTCAAGACTCTAAATCAGGTCTACCAGAAGGTACGCAGTTACTTTTTTCAGATTCGTTTGAGTTTTTGATTGTTAACTACATTTTGTTTCACTTTAAGGGCGGGGAAAGAAGAAAAAAAAAATCAAAAAAAGTTCGATGAACATGATGCTGGGCGGAAGCATAATGGCAACTTTCGTTGTGATATTTTTTTTCTTGAATATGATAACCGTGACGCTCGGAAAAGCGCTGTTTTTCACGTTCATTGCCAAGTTTTTGGTATCTGTAAATTGGAAATCGTCGGAACCCTCGTCAAAGAAGAAATCTTCTCATAATGAAATAACAGTCTTAATGACGTAAAATATCAATTTTTTTTATTTTTAATTATTACACGACCAATAATATTTATATAATAAATAAATAATATTACATTCTAAAAGTATTATGTATTTGTTTAATAACAATGTATAATTTAAAAAATAAATAAATAAATTTAAATGCATGATAAGTTTTTGTTAATTAATTAATTGATTAATATTATAGTACTAGAATCTAAAACAATTAATTAATATTAATCATATTGCTGATTACCATATTGAATTGATTCGGTTTGAGCTGCATTGTATTGACCTGCATTGATCTAAAAATATAAACTAATTATTAATAAAGTCACGTTAAAATTTAAAATATAGTTAAATCAATTTTTATTGAATCGCTGTTCATCGAATCTTCCCACGTATAATGTATTTATGGGCGTATTTTGAAATTAAATAAATATACTCGAGATTTTTTTTAAGTGTTAACATATCATTATCATCTTGTATGTAATAATAAAATTGATAATTGTGGTAAATACAAGACTAAATGAATAGTCCGTAGTTTTACTTAATGTTTTTAGCACCTTAGGGCTTAGAATGTACACTGTTATACGCGTTAAAATTATAATACTCGTAAACGCTGTACGATACGGATACAACATGCTCTATGAGTTTACCTCGACATCGAATTTAAATTGACTAGAATTTAATTGTTTTTTTGATTTATGACGTACGCGAGCGTACGCAGAGTGTACACGTGTTTGTCAAACGATTTTAATCTAGACATAATATACACCATCACAACATAGATAATATGCTGTTATTACACATTATAGATATTAGTGCAAATTACAAGTATCGGTAAATCCCAACTCGTCGCTGTCATACCCGTTTAGATATTACGCGCGCATATCAAATGTTTATATTTTTTTTTTATCACAAAATGATGTCTCTATGTATAGGTACACTCACGTCTGTTACGATAGCCCCGTTGCCTTCAAAACCGTAATTGGACGCCTGTTGGTACGCTTGGTGGGGTCCCGGGTTGTTGATGACTTCGTACGTGGTCCTGGCGTGGCCGTGGCCGCCCGACTTTTTCGATACCGCCATCGCGGACAGCATCAGAGCGAGTATGCTGGTCATGAGCCCCTTGGCAGCCATCAGCGCCAGCGCCCCGAACGCGGTGGACATGAGCGTGGTGATCATCATCATGCCGCCAAGCATCAGCACGCCCGCGCCCTTGTCCTTTTTGCCTCGGCCTTCGTCGCCACCGCCGGTGACGGGCGCGGACGTCGTAACGCCTATCAGCCACCCGATGGCGTCCACGGGGACGGACACCCTGAGCGACCGCCTCTCCGCGAATTCCGTGATTTTCGAGTACACCGACGTGGACGGCGAGGTTCCGTTTTTGCGCGCCGCCGTCAACCCATCGACGCCCGAAGAAGTCCGCGCCCGGCCGTCCGGAACCACGGCCAAATATTGACCCATCAGCGGTATCTCTCCCGGATACGCGGCCGCAGCAGCCACGACTTTTGCACCGGTCCTGGTGATGAGACACGGCCACAGGTCGGCGGACCGCACGCACTTCTCACCCTCGTCGCGCAGTGTGGCCGCCAGCACGCTGACGGCGCTGTGGCGCGTCGCCGCCGTGGTCAGCACCTGTAACTGCAATGTCGATGACAGCAACAACAACAACAGAGACGGTGGCCTAAACGCTACCGATGGTTTATCGAGTGACAGAGACATGGTGACACGCGGATGATGGGGATGACGGTTGACGATTAAACGATTGACGGCGAATGGGCAATTAAACGATAACGTGGAAGTATTTATACGCCGGATGGAGGTCTCCGCCTCATCTCTCGGGTGCGATTATCGTGTGTCCCGGCGGTTTCCGGTGGCCGAGAGACTTTTCGGACAATCGAAACGTGTAACGAGATCGAAGCGAGACAATGGATCTCGCGGTCGGATCGCGAATACGACATTGTGACGCGCGTGGCGGTTCGGAACGGCTGTACCACTGCGTGCAGCGGTTATTGAGTTCGTGGTTCAGCGGGAAAACGATTTCACGCGCGACGGCCACTATGATTTAGGCCGAAACGTACGCTTTTCTGACATTTTTTTCTAGGCCTCAGTTTTCCATCTCGGGTGCGAGACAGTAAAATACGAATAACATATTATTGTTATTATTATCACTATTGTTGTTGTTATTATTGAGGGTTCTCATATATTTGTTAAGTCCAGCCTGCGTGGACGGTATACGTACACCTAAGGCTGTATCCAGAAATTATTTTCTTAGGGGGCGAAAAAACCTGTATAATGTATATTGTATATTTACTTAATTTAAATTTTGACATTTGATTAAAAATAAAGTATATAAGTTAAAACAATGTTAAATTATTAATAAAGTTATACACGTCATAAAAATACATAAAATAATATAACGTACCTTTGTAAGTTAATAGTAAATTTTTGTTTCTCGTTTACTCATTTAAGTGAAATTAATAAATCAAATCGATGTATTTATCATTGTTCTGGCAGACGACGGTAAATAGTTAAAATAAATAATAATATTTTTAATTTACTCAATAATTACCGTTGAAACGTTGACCGGCATTGATAGCGGTCGTTGTCGATCAATAAAAAATCTATTATTAGACGCTAAAATAATATTTTCATACGATGTTATGGCACATAACAATCAATCATGAATTTATTAAATTTTAATTTTAGCCATTTATGTTGGTATTGAAGATAAATAGTTGTTTTATACATTTTTAAACTATTTAAGAATTTTTTTTTTTTGAGGAGGGTCTAGACTTGTTGGACTGCCCCCCCCCTAGATGCGGTCTTGCATACACTATATAGTGTTAATACAAATGATCTACACACGTAGAATATTTTTTCTTAATAGTCCTTTATTTATATTTATATACATTTTTAATATAATACTAACTAAAATAAAACAATTATTTTTTTTATTTTTGAGTTAAATTTTGAAAAATATCAGTGTGATATCAATTTTATTGTTTACGAAATTTTAGTTACAAAGTTATACTTCTAAATAAAAAAAAACTACATTTTTATTTTGAATATAAAGGATAAATTAGTTGAATCGGGAGGATTTTTTTTTTCAATAATAACACTCGAAACTTTTATACTCAACAAAATTGTTTAACTTAATAATCTAACAGATAATTAATCATTAATTATTTGAAACCAAATTAAACTATCAATGCATTATACAAGACATTAAAGCGACGGAATTACTAATATTTATAATTAATGACAGTATAATAAAGTGGATATACTTTCTAAACAATTGTCATTTTATCATAAATGTATGCATTGTTATTAAAGTTGATTCAGGCTCAACAATTTTCACAAAAGATTACTGGAATATCCGCCTGTACTTATGATTTATTCGGTAAACTACAGTTAGCTGGTAATGGTTTTAAAAGTGGTTAAGATCAATTTAATTTGAAATTATAGCCCTAATCGGTAGAAATGGTAGAATGCTTTGCTTATGAAATTATATTATTTTTTAAGCAATTTTGTGTTTTGTCTTCATTAATATTTCTTTTTTTTTTTTTTGAAATATAGTGTTATCGGCATTATAACAAATTGCAGATACATGTTTAACACGATCATCGCAAAAAATAATATTTTTTATGGTTTTCGTTACGTCTATTATAGCTGTTGCAGTTAGATGAATAGGCTCACTGGCCTAGGCATAGGATGGCAAATCTTGTAAAAAATGAAAAAAAACCATATAAATATTTTATGTATTTATATAACTGCTTAAATAAATACTATATAATATTAAATATACATATTTAAAAAACATAGAAGTAAATCCATGAATTTGAGAAATAAATACTACATTATTTTTTCTTAGGGTTGGGGCAGCATATTTAAAAGGGCTTAGGGCGGCACCTGTTCTAAATTCAGCATTCGGTATGTAATAAATAATAATACATATCAAAACTATTATAAGTATTATACAAGGTTAGATTTATCATCTTGAAAAACTCGAAGAAAAAAATCATCGATTACTTTACCAAATTAATAATATAAATTAATAAATTGATAATAAGCTATGGTTATTACTTATTGTTATGTATAATATGTATAATAATTCTTATAATACATGTATAATTACATTGTAGATATCTAAAATTGTGTGAATAATATTAATATATAATAAATACATAATAATATAACGATTTCTATAGGTTAGGTACCAATCTATTTCTAAGTGAATAACTATCAATAAATTATTATAGGAGAAAATTCTCTCGTTATTTAAAAAACTATAAAGGTCTAATTAGTCACTTTTTAATTATTCATAGAAATTGAATAGATCATACATTATACAATCTTAATATTTTATACTTGTTAAAGTAAAAATATTTTTGTTATATTTTATTGTATCAAGTATAGTACACTATTAATTATTAGATAATTATTATTATTATCGTTCTGTCAAACATGATAAAAAAAATTATAAATGGACCATATTCTTTGTAATAAATGATAAACACGGGATGCTACTATAGATTAATAGTTAAACCTTAAACTCTTAAATATGTTATATTTAAAAAAAAAAAACTTAAATTTGTAACGAGTAAGTATGATTTATGTATTAATCTAAGTATAATAATGAACGGTTATCTAAATAGTTTGTATTTCTGTTGACTAAAAAGCAATAATTTGTGAACTCAAAAAATTAAAGATAAAGATAACAATTAAAAATTATTTTAAAATGCATATAAAATTAATCACAATTACATTGAAAAAAAAACTTAAAATAAATTATTATTTAAATATTTTATCATGGTTTACTTTAATCGTATTTTAGAAGATTATAATGGAATAAAAATACAATTAGAGGTCATTAATTGAGTTCAAAATATTGCAAGGGCTTAGATATATAATAGAAGAACATAAAAATAATACAATGTTTTAAATCTTAATAAAATTATTCGAAAGTATTTGGTAAGTATTATTATACAAAATACAGTAATAATATAGTATATTATCATTTATAATTTATTTTTATACTTAATGTATTCAAAGTTTAGTATAAATATTAAGTTATCAAATGTAATATCATATCGGAATATTAATACGTACTGCATTGATATATTTAACTAATCACATTTAACGTTATTTATATGTCATTATTCACATTATTGTAATAATAATAGTATATTTCAAATTAGCACATGAATAAACTGAAGATAATTCTATCGTTTGTTGTACTCTTATAGTAAAATTCTCTTGAAGTTATACCATGCCTTCAAAATGAATCTGATTACAGTCAATTATGACTATCTTCCCTAGCTGTGATGCAATCACATATGATTTTAATTATCTACTCACTAATATTACGTACTCTCACACTAAGAATACATCTAAACTACTTTTTGTGTTATTTTAATCTGGACTTTTTTTGCATTATGATCTTTAATATTGTGATTTGTTAATTTCTGTTGTTATTATATAATTTAATTTGTTTAAAAACCGTTTATTTATTTTTTTGTTTTATTTCTCTCTAAATGATATGTTGAACCCTCATTAAATTTATCTATAACATTCTACATTGAATATTCATTTAGTTAGATATATAAATATAACACTTTAAATAAAATACATTCATAAAAAAAAAATATGAAAATATTTATAAGTATGTACGAGTATAATTTAGTTTGTATCATACTGTATTATTTATAGCCTATATTGCTATACTTATAATTTTATTATAGGCTATAGTAAACCGTATTAATATAATATTTACTATAATAATTTAACTGATAGTATCTGTCTAATCTAGTAATTGTATTGTTTTATACGAATTATATATAATATATATCTGTGTATATTATGTTATAATTTAAAATAATTATTAAATATACTTACCTACAAAATATATAAAAATCCTATTAAGTAATAGAAACAATAACGCATATGTTTACAAACAAATTGTAAATAATATTATAATGATAATGTTTTTTCTCATTAATTGCGAGATTTAAATAATTCTAACATAACTGCACAACGATTTAAATCAAGTCAAACTATAATATATATTAGTTTATCTTACATATTGATATTAATTAGATTTATCATAGGCAAATAATTTAAAATCACTATAACTAAGTTTTTCAATAAATTTAGATTTAGTTATTTAAATACTATACAAAAGAAAAGTTTATTAATTAAGTAATAAGTTAAGATAAGTTTTTGTACAATTAAAACTTTAATAATGTGAACAAATATTCAACAGTTGGAGCAAACATTCTATTATTTTATTTATGTGGATAAGTTGTACAGACATTTATTATTTTATTTGTTTATATTTTTTTATTTTATTTAGCTTTTAGTATATAACTACATTTATTATTTAAATACTGTTTAGCTATTGAAAATTTAAGAACAATATCGTTGATATTACGTACATTATGTTATATTATTATATTATTATAACAATAATTAACAAAATTTTAGAAAATATAATAGGTAGCATCATGAATTAATATAAATTAAGTTACATTAATTTTGCGAAACTTCTATTTATTACTTTAAATTTATTAAGTTTCAAAAGTGCCTAGACACACTAATTACCACTATTTACGTTTTGCACATGTTATACCTATTAGGTACTTATTTTATATACTAATATATATTATTATATATTATTTATAATTACGCTTAGATTGCTGGAATTTTATTTATGGAATAAGTCAATATATTTATAGTTATAGTTTTTTAGTATTTAAAAATAATTTCGGCAGATGAAGTATTTATATAATTAGTATTTAGTAGACTTTATGTATATTTCGTTAAACATAAAAAAAAATATTGTTATAAATATATAATAAAACATATCATTACAATCGATAAAATTATGACAATGTTCGTATTGATTCACGTCAAATAACACAGCGGACACAAATATCAAATGATTGTATAATAATATAATAATTAGGATATCATGGCAATGGCATTCAGTCCGCGATATTATTTTGTCGTGTGTCAAACCGCGTAGATGCGACGACGAGTTAATTCGAAATGTGTCATAATTTTTTCGTTACACCCGATTTCTTATGAAAATAATAGATAAATAATTGTCGACAATAATAATAAAAAAGTTAGCTTGATATCATCAATAATAAATACGTCCTGATAATAATGTTATATAGTTTGTACAATGCGTCGTTACACAAATAAAAATATTTCGTAAAATAATATTTTAACTTTATTTACACATTAATGATAATAATAAATAAAAATTAATTAAATACTTATAACAACAGTATTGCGTTAAAACTATGCGCGTTGATCGAGATTTCGCTTGCATGATAAATTATATGAGTTATGCCTAAAATACGAAACACAAAAATAACAATAGAGAGAGAAAAAACGAATATTTTAAGACCGTATCTCTCACAAAGGGTACATATTCTTTGATACAGGTATAGATTGTACAATCGGACTTGAGCAATACATGTATATTGTATATAGTAATCCAATGGTTTGATAACAATAGTAATATATATGCTATTTGCTATACGTATAATATGATAATATAAATAATATGTATTTTGTCACGTCTCATATAATTTGTTTCTTATATGTTGTTTTTTTTTTTTTTTATATAATTTTGTTCGTGTTTTCTTTTCTTTTTGTATTTTGTGTATCCGCTGACGGGTCAATTTCATCATCCTGCGTCCTCCTGAACGTCTTCAATGCGACGCATAGTTGTATAAAGACGTCGCGTACGCCACAAACCTAAAAAAAACGGATTCGTTTGTCAGTCATCATAGTATGTACATAATAATATCATAACTATTAACTATCTCGTTATTTTTACGAGAAATATAGTGCGTAACAATTGCGAGACAATACGAGATGCGAATATGCGTGTAGTGTTTTTTTTCTCATCGTTTTCCATAAATTATTCTTACACGTATATGCGTCACACTTTTTAACACCGCGACGACATCGATCAACGGTCGTCATCGACTTTGCCGCGGTCGCAGCATATCGCGTAACCGAAGAATTGTCGAAACTCTGGCGAACGTGGGATGGGTTCCCACGTACGCGAGAGTTCCGACGACCCGATTCGGTATAAATATATTATAATAATAATGATAATAACTATAATAATAATATGTATAAGATACAAAGATGTCTCGCATAGTACAAAGTATAATAATGATATACGCGTAACTGCACTCATATATGATTATCTGTTCATGTATTAATATTGACCGTAGTAATAAGATACATAAACGGGCGCGATGAAATACGTAACGGTGTGTAAACGTGCGCGTTGTGCCTTTATAATATAAATACGAACAATCGGCAACAAAATATAAATAACAATAACAACGCGAAATAATTAGCTCACATTAAACTACACAATAATAACATGATATAGTATAATACGGAGGCAGTTTATATTTCAGTGGCTGTAATAAGTATGTCTGTGTGTAATTTTCTTAAACACGCCAGTTTAAAGGTATACGTATTGTATTAATATTATAATTGATTAACGATGCGCGCGGCCTCCACTGCGCTAGACGATTCTTCATCTCGGACCCCTTCCATCCCACTAATGACGCGTGGTTATCACACGATGTCCGAATCGAATTATATCGGAAGAATAACGTTGATGCTAGGATAGATACGGCGGGGAGGGTATTCCCTATTCGGGCTAATTAATTTATTCCGTGACAAATAACATTCATGACTCGTAACCTACATTGGCTATGAATAATATTATCAGGTGGTCTGATTTTTGTGTTCTTCCCATAACTAACTTCCACCGTGCTTCACACCCACTACCATAGTCTATAAACTATCAATGAGTATTGTATAGTATAATTCATAACTGCATTGTTTTTTTTTCAACTAGACAGAAAGATTTGAAAATGAAATGTGTTTCGCGTATAAAAGCGATGGACATCATTGATACAAGTGTCGTTGAAAAGCAATAAAAAAAAAAAAAGCTGATTAAGTAGGCATAAAATATAAATGTTAAATGTCTATTTTAATCGATTAAAAATTAAAAACTAAAGACAGAAAAAAGTATGATCCCGTGATTTACTCTAAGAAGATTATATGAAACATGAAATATATTATTAGTTTTTATGGGATTATATAGGTACCTGATATACTGTTATATCAATTAATTTAGATTGTAATTGAGAATTTTGTTTTGATCATATAATATTATACGTATTGTAGTTATCTCTGTAATATAATTAATAATATAAATATTTAAATCAATATTTTGACAGCTTAATTAGTTGTTGAGTCAATTAAAAATAATAAAATATAGTAACAACTTTCTACCTTTAATCAGAATTTTGTTTGTCATTCAAATTTATACTACCTACTATAGTCGTAAAAAACATGTTTTGCGGCGAACGACTTAAATAGATTTGTGATTGAATTCAGGAATTTTTAATATTTGTAACAATTGACTTAACACAATCCCTTAGTCACCTTCTTTTTTTTTTATTTACTCATGCACATTTGACTACACAGTATGATGAAATGGGTTAAATCGTATAATTGAATGGTGTTATATCTTCGTGGGATAAACAAAAAAATGTAAATAAAAAAAAAAATAAATAAAAAACAAATACCTCATAGAGAAACTTACTTATTATATATATGTTTTTTTTTGTTTTCTAAAAAAAAATTCTAGAATAAACGAATGGGAATCGTGATCGACTCGAAATCATATTTTTATTGACCTGTTTCATCAACACCCTCCTTAAATATTTTATCATCTGAAATTTATATTATGGAAACAGAAAGTTTGGTCCAGGGAAGTTTGAGCTAATATATAACTGTACATGTTTGGATAAATTTTATATTTATAAATATATTTTTAATATGGGTAAATTATACTTCTTTAATATTTAATAATATTATACCTAGCACTATAATAGTAATAATCAATAAATAATTAAATAGTTAATTGTACGTATACCTCATGATAACGTATTATAAGTAATTGAATTTCTTAAAAATGTTTAATTTAAATCTATCATAATAATATTTTACAATTCAAATAATAAATGTAATGTACAGTGAAATTAAACAGTTAAAAATCATGACAAATTGTACTAACGATGATTACCATAGCGTTCACAACCCATATTGTATCCATACGGTGAACAGTATTATAGTGATAATAATTTAGGTGTATTTTTCAATGATAATTATTCTTATTCAGTTCAATATTTCCTAAAGATCAAATTAAGTATGGCAATATTAGTGAAATCGTTTTTGGCACGATTGTAATTTGTAAATAGCACATCAGCATTTTCACGCTAGTGTAATAATATTCGTATTTAAATACATAGGTATCGATAACAATACGAATATACATATCAAACAAACAATATATTAACGAGTTTCTAAGAAAATACAATTATAACTAAATAGGTGAGTATATAATTGACCATATTTTATTTGGAACCAATTGTTTTGCAAATAGAATATTTATTTTTGTAACGATTAAAATATAAATGTTTGTTGTACAAATATATGTTCTAATTGTATATTTGTATTAAAAAAAATAATCCAAGTTTTGTAGTAATTTCACTAAATAGGTATCATTATAATAAGAATTATTGAAATCGTGACAATACAGTCAATCAAGATATAAATATATATATTAATTTTAATTCAAATATATTTTTGCATTATATTTTATAATTAATAAATAACTAAGCATTAAGATTATGAAAAAAAATATAATATTTTAACTATAACCACCAATTATTGTTATTAATTCAAATTGCAAGATGATTTAAAACTTTAAATGAAATAATTATGATTGGAATTGAACCTATACTTCAATAAAATTAAGCTCTAATACAAATATCCAAATCGCTAGTTACCTAATAGGCATATAAATTCATCATTGTTATTTACATTTCTGGGTTATTGTGAGTTATTTTATCCATTGTTGTATAATACTCATATTCATTTTATTTTACTTTTTATTTTTATGACTATAAAGTATAATTTATAGTATTCTTACTTATAACAGTAACATTTTACTATTTGTTTCAACAATTTATTTAAATACTCTATACTAACTCTCTAGAATTTATTCTAAAACATCTTTGTTTATCAAAACTATAAATATACATTTTGGTCTTGTAGAAATTTACGATAGATAAAGTTTATTAAAAAAAATAATTAATATTACCGTTTTAAATGATGTTTTACATGAAAATATATTTTAATATCGACAAAATAAATTGACTGAAATATGAAATTAGGACTTTTAGCATATTTACTACCATAGGGTATAATGGATACAATGTAAATAAAGTGAAGGAAATATATTTTTTAATTTGATTGATGTTTTTTTTCTTTTTATAGTCTAGACATGTTTTTTGCATACATATTTAATTCCGTTAATCAGACATTTGATTTGTATACACATACCTATCATACATATGTAAAAACGTGAGCACATGACGTGCTGTTTCATCAAAGAGAAAATCTCATATTATATTAACGTTAATAGTTTTAAAAGTGTAGTGGTGTATTATAAATATTATATTATAATGCTCACATATGCGAGTACAATGAAATATGTATAATATGTATACTTTTCATGATAATATTATTTATTATAAGGTTTTGCAAAATAATAGTGTTGGATTATGAATGGCATACAAAAAATAATGTAAATCCAGGTCGTGCAAATACAGCCGATGATGTGTTAAATAGACCAGAACTAAACCAAGAGTATCAAATATTTATAAGCTGAAACGTTTCTATGATTATAATTTTCTTACTGTCGTTTTTAATATTTAAAAGATCTATTAAATTATCAGAGAGATTGTTTACAGACACATTATATGATTATAAAAAAAAATAAAAATAAATTAAATAAAATGTCTAGCACCTATAGAATCACTATTGATTAAATATTTGATTAGTTTATTAATTTTTGTCCAAATAATTCATATATAATATTATTATATTATGTTAAATGTTTTTAATATGATCCAGAAACACTTCATATTTTAATAAACAATTGATTATGAGTTTACATATTTCATTTTAATTTTTTCGTTATCATCAACTATTCATTACACAAAAGGCGTGTGGAAATAAGAGGATAAGCCAAAGTTACTAATTTTCATTAAATGGAAATTTCTAATTTCTATATTAGCAGTTATTTCTGTCTTTAATCTTCATCAATATTTAAAATAAATATAAAAAAAGTTATAAAATATTCTGATAAAAAAAAAAAAAAAAAAACTATAAAGAATATTTTTTTTTTATGAAGTATCCTATTTTCTTAATCCAAAAATATCTTTTTTTCTTTTATATGCGAATCAGTCGTATATCTACATGAGGTAGATATTATCCTTAAACAAGACTACTCCGTAAATATGAACTATTGGTGTTAGAAAAATAAAAGTAAGTACCTTAAAATATTTGTTGGTTTTTAAATATAACTTAAAATTATTTTATTCGGTGAACTTAAAATTTATATTGCATACCTATATTTGTCTCAAATTATTATTTTAAAGATAGATTATTTAATAAATGCGTATAATACATCATTTATAATATATATTACATATATTTTAAAATATCAGTGATAACAGTGGTGTATAATTTAGGCATGTTTTAGGTACTTGAATAAATATTAAAATTTCATGTAATTAAAGAATCAGATTATTAAACAAAATTAGATAATGTGTTGCAAGTAGCAAGCTTATAATAAGAATTAAAAGCATGCAAATATGTGTTTTCGCAAGGCATTTATGTGATCAATTTAGTGTTTAATTTTGCTTTATAGCACGTATTTGAGTATACACATGTAATTATCCTTTCAAATTAAATTACACAGGCCTAAATTCTCAACAAATAACCACTAGAAACCAATTGATATCACGTTTCGTAAATTCAATATAATAATATTATATATTATAATTTAAATATATCGTAGGTATTATGTATTACAGAAAATATTAAAATAGCTAAACGTATTTTTCTCATTCAATCAATTAATTATTAGGGACGAAAAAGTTAAGTAAATATTAATTCAATTATTATTATTAATACACAAACATTGAATAATCTATCATATTAACTTGGTGACGATAAAACCAATTTCTTCGGATATTCATTATTATAAGATTATTTAATAATATTAAATTAATATAATTATAAACATAAAATACGTACTTAAATATTGTACATGTTTTTATCGTAATTTCATTATATTTTTATCAAGAACTTCAAATATTTCATGACCTAATTTTTATCTTTCTTTTTTATTTGTTTTATCATTAAAGCTGAATTTTCAACTTGTGTTGATTTTATCTTGTGAACACGTAAAAACAAAAAAGTCCAAGAACATATTGTTTATTACTGATAAAGTTAAAATGATTTACATTAAAACAGTTGAAAACTAAAAAGTAGTTCACTGAAGCTATATTACATATTATAAATCATTAATGATTTTGAATTAAAAATATATTTTTATATTTAAAAATTTTAAATTGTATATATATATTTATATGTATCTATATTGTTATTGATCATTCAGTGAGTATTTCTCTGATTAGAATATATTTTTGTTATTAATAATGTAATATGTATTTGTATTATTACCAATTTATTAATTTATATTATCATATTATATTAACTATGTTTATATATCTTATATTAAATAAATAAGTTTTATGTAGTGTATTATTTTAAATCAGTTAATAACAATTTAATGAAAATTAAAAATAATTATCGGTATAATTTAATTATTATAACTACATATTTCAATTTCATTGTTTTAATTAGAAAGTATAAAGTTTGAATAACATTTTCTATAGTTGGTTTAGTATTTATTTTCATTAGCATTCATTATTTCGTGAAAATATTTTTAAAAAAAATACATTATAGTAACATAATTTATAAAATGTAAGTACATTAATATTAATTTACTCTATTACCTGTATAATAACCTGGAAAAATAAGAATTTTATATTTATTTAGAGATACGATTTTTAGTATGAATAAAACAAAACAAATTTAAATTTATATTCATACTGATTATACATATAAAATATTTACTGTATAGTATAAAAAAAATTTTTACTTATCAAAATTCTTTAGTACTTATTTTTTATATTTTTGTTTAATTTTAATACCTATAATTAATTTTCTAAATAGTTTGTCCATTATTAGTCATTATTTGATATATTTATAATAATGTCATGTTTTAGTTTTATTATTCATTAATATAAATATGCTAATGAAATTATATTATCATGTTATGATAAGCTACAGAGACAATTAAAACTTTTATTTTTCTTTATTTTAAAAATACTTATACAAAACTTGCTGTATTGATCGTATTTATAACTTTTTAAAGCATTGTTAATTTGTTTTTTTGATAATTCGTGACAATTTGTGCAAACGTATAAGTACCGTTACATAGTAAACCTAGATAAAAGTTGGAAAATTCAAAAAGCTTAAATTGCGTGTTCGGCATTTCTAATAATTAAAAAATACCATTTTATCGAAGACTCATCAATGGTGTCCCTTGAGACCCAGCCCAACTGCGAACAGCGCGAAAAAGAATCCAGCAAAACCAGTGGTGGCCACGATCAGCACCAGTCCACCCAACATCAGTGGCACAAGCGTGAAAAACTTGAGCTTGTACGCCAACAGCAGTGGCAACATGAACTTTTTCAGTTTCTTGAAATCCTTCACCTTGAACGGCTTGTGCTTTTTGCCTTTCTTTTTCCGCCTGCGTTTCTTTTTGACGATCGCTGGTTTTTCTTCTACATAATCTGTGAAAAACCACAAAAATAATAAGTACCTTTCATCAAGGCTATGAAATACTAATAATAATCATAATAATATCTTAATGTACTGTAAGATGAACATTTAGTAGTATTTTGTATAATTGTATCACGAATATACTCATGTTTATTGTTGGCAGTTTTTTCTACGATTCATTTAGATTACCAATATAAATGATACCTTTATATACTCCGATTTACATACACGCATGTATTTATATAACCGTCGTCCGACATGATATCTTATCCAATTTTGATTTTTATGCGAACCAAAAATAAAACAATTGGCCTAAATACTATACCTACAATATGTATATATAGTAAATATATATATATATTTATTAAGTGTATAAAGTCGCATAATTGTGCTATTCTACGCACTTTTTATGCCCATTGCATATTACTCTACCACCTGCTACATAAAAGATGGCCGTAATTATTCATCGCTTACAATGGCATTTTATTTTTACAATATTCATTGACCGCCAACATGCTACGTCATTGCAGTGATGTTTTTAAGAAATCTAGTAAATAGCATTTAATTTTATTTTTCTTATTTATATATATATATATATATATATATATTTGGGTATACCTACTCTAAATAAAACATTCAAATTCGCTTTACATCGTTCACTATGGAAAATGATTTTAGAAAGTAGAATCATCGTTGACTTGCGCGAGAGTTGAATCATTGTCGACTTGCGAGTCTATTTATCATTCGTTTATTCGACTATACTGCAGAAGCACAATTTACTGTTTTCATAATATTAAAAATAATATTTTCGTCTGTAAAACTTCGATTAGAGTATGTCTACAACCTCATACTTAGGCTTTTTGTTGAAGACACGATGTACGAGTAACTTTGGGAATGTGTCAGTGTTTGTCAAACGAAAAAACACTATATTATATGTAAATGGTATCATCTAAAATGATGCATATATTGAATTATTATTATAAACAATTTTCTTGGATACACGTTTCATAAAACGTTTGATAAAACACATTCCATTTACTGGTCATTTATTCTTGAGGGATGGAGCACCGTCGATTATAAATACAGTACTAACACTCGATTACGTTCGATAGTGGTCAACGTTTACCGATTTTTAGACCGGAAGAAGCAATCAACCATGGGTAATACGTATTTTAGAAAAAACACTTGCATCAATATGTGTTCTGACTTCATGAATTATAATATAAATATAATAAATAAATAATAAACCATTGCCAAATGAACCATAATATACTTTACACGAGGGTGTATCAAATCAGTACCGTGTCCAAGGTCGAAACCACAACTCAATATCGCGCAGTTAACGAACAACGTACACATTTAATGGGTTTAATACTGTTTTCTTTTAGCGACTGTAGTGATAATGACGATTTGAATGGATTTCATAGTCGGGATATTGAAAGTAAATACCGTCCAACGTTTTTTCGCATCAGATGCAATTTGTCGGATGAATGGCTAGACGAAGTCATCCATGACGTCATTGACTTTGACTCGCATTTGTACATAAAATATAATAACTATATAATATATGACGACGATACCATCGTGTAACGTAAAATGTACATGGGTCCAGCGGTATTTTTCAAAATTAATAAAGGGTTTTTCGATTCCAAAATCGAATCGGAAGATCGTTCCGTACTCAGACCTACATGCCTAGCGTAACTAAAAAAAAATTTAAAAAAATTGAAAAGAAGAAAAAAATAAACACATCAGACGCATTTTTACTCACTGTCGGACGAGTCGATGTGTTGGACCTCGACGATTTCTTCAATCTCCTCTTCGTCACTTTTATCCTGGTGATCGTCGTCATCGTCCACGTCGTACTCGTCGTCGTCATCGTCGTCGTCGTCGTCGTCGTCATCGTCGTCGTCCTCGTACTGCCTAACCCGCTTGGAGGTCACTTCCTGCGTACCGATGGTTGGCCGGGCGGTGGACAAGCGAGGTGGCGGGAAGGTGATGGTGATCATCGGCTTGGTGGTGCTCATAAGCGGCTGATACCTGAACGGTATGTCCCGGCGGGCATCGTGCGTGCTGGTGGCCATCACAGGCTTGGCGGTGGTCGTGGTAACGGACTTGGCTGGCGGGTGTGACGAAGACCGGGGCGGTGGGTGTGTGACGGATATCTGCGTCCACGACTTGCCCAGGGCCGTAGGGGCGACGGCCGACGTCGCCAGCGGTGGGCCGACGCCGGGGAGCGGGGGATCGGGAGCCCTGATGATTATGCCGGAAGTCTCGGTCGTGTGCGGCGTCGACTGGCCGGCCGCGTTCTTCTGCACGACCAGCCCGAACTTGGACCAGACGCCCGCGGCCGTGGCGGCCGCTTCGGGCTGGACGGCCGCAGATCCGCCGTCGAGCGCGGACCGGACCCGATCGGCGGCGATCAGCAGCACCGCAAGTGCCAGCACAAGCGGTGGCATCGTAGCTGTCATCGTGGCGAGCTGTCGGTCACGGCCGTTGGTGTCGCCGTGGCGTTTCATACGACATGGCGGTGACACGTTGACGGCGGCGTATTTGTGCGCGGGAAACGGACGTGAACGAATCTTTCGGCGACGGCTGTGATATGCACGGCAAGAGCGTTCCGACACCGAACTGGCCGACGTCTTCGGCGCGGCCCACCGACGTCGGAAAATCGCTCTCCCCTCCACCCCGCCAACGATGTCCCTCCACAAACCCGAGAATCGTCGCCGCCACCGCCGCTGTTTTGCCGGTCCAACGGTTTACTGTGCCTCGATTGTTAGCGCCGCGGCTAGAAGACAAACACCATACTGTCTACACCACCTTCGTCGCCGCCGCTGCCACCACCATTGCCTAACCGCAGCTACCGTGGTTATAACGATAAACGACAATAATAATAACACATCTTCTCTTCTTCGGGACGACCATAGTAATGGTATATGATGACCGTGTTTTACCGTGTCGTACCTGCGATGTGTACCTTGTGTGTAAAATATTATACACACATACATTTATTGTTTGACGCACGAAACTGGCCGATTGGTGTTAATAGCTATTTTCACGGTGTGCTCCACACTTGCACGCACGCAATCTGTTTATTATTACTATTATTATTATTATTATTAACATCACAACCGTCATCATCATTATCATCATCATCGTCTTCATTAACGACGACAGTTCCACGCTGTGGATATTATGGCGGACCGATCCAATTAAAAAAAAAAAAAAAAAAACGTCCAAACGAATGTAAAACCGAAAATAATTATTATTATTACCACATGAATACAATATTACTTTGTTATAGTTATAGGTTTAATTTTTTTTTTAACTAATATAACTATTTAGGTCGATTTGATCGTTACGATTTTCATATTGTTCTCGTCTGGCGATCTATTTAGGGTATAACGCCGACGGCTATTTTATGGGAATTTTAATTATCCAGGTGCCGTGTCGTCATCGTATTGAGGAGACGCGCACATTGCGCGTACCTACCTTTATCAGATATATCAGTCGCGACAGTCTTCATCAATTTAATAATAATAGTAATAAATTATTAAGTGCTGTATTATTATGCAGATGTGTGGGACAACGAGACAAATCATAATATATTAATGTTTGAGTCTTTTTGATTTTGCACACTCACTGCACACAGTGTCGTTTAAAACTCTTCACCTAATAAATATTATTAGCCATATTGTATCTTCGTCAAGTCGAGTTAACCTATTTCTATAATTTCGATCGAGAAATGAAATCACGTCCTATTCCATATCATTTTGCTAGTTTTTGTAATGACTAATCAGTATACTTACGGTTTTAAGTAATATATTTAAATAACCATATTATGACACGCGTACAACTAAAAAAAAAATATTTTGTTTTATTTCTCAGTAAATATTTTCCATATTAAATATAATGTATAAGATACAGTCATAATGTAACATAATAGTTCTTCACGAATTATTTCTTATGAATCGTTAACATATTTCATTCAGACAATTTAAAAATAAAAGTAAATATTTTACCAGATCTAATAAATTTTTTAATTGCACAAAAGGAAAAAAACAACTGAATTTGTAGTTTTAAGTTAGTTAAAGTGAAAAATTAAAGTTCCTGTTTATTCAAATTAATAAATTGTTTATATTTGTTGTATTTTTCAATTTTTGTAACATAGACGTCGTAATAAATCCGTAATAGTTATAAATGTTTGAAGTATGATGTACCTGCGTTACAATTGCGAAATGATTATTGCTGTATTTAAGACTATACTGGCACATTAAAAAAATAATATAGTAATATATACACTGTTATAACGATTTAAATAATTAAGGGAAAAAGAAACATTAAATAAATTAATATCAAACAGATGAAAAATTGAAAATACCGACAAACAATATATTTGAGAATTTTTTTTACGATAATACTATGATTAAAATGTTTAAATAATTAAAATATTGTAATCAAAATTATGTTAATTGATGGTGAAGTGAACCCATTCATGTAAATTGTAAATCACAGATATTTAATACATTTTTTATTTAAAAAAATAAGGCAAAAATAAAATTTTTAATGTTTTAAACAATGACAAAAATCAAATCATAAATTTTTTAACAGTTTTTTTTATTTCACAAAAAATTCACTTTTTTTTAATTGAGTTGGTACTTAACACTTAGGTATTTAAAATTGTCCTCGTCATTTTCTGCTATTATATTATATTTAGATAATTAAACGTCATATATAAACTGATTATGATTAATATTTTAATAAAAATATGTAATATTATTTAGTGTTATTATGAAATAATTATTTTTTATTTATTCATAACTTAAAATAAAGCATAATTTTTAAATTACATAGAGTATAAATAACTTGTTCGGATTATAACTTTCAATTTATACATATATACTAAATAAGTTAGGCCCAACATTATATTAAAGAAAAACGGCTAACAATTTAAATAAAAAAAAACAAAAAATATAAGTTAAAAAAGAATATACCTGGTTAAATATAATTAAGAATTAAAAACTTCATTTACTATTCAGTTTACTAAGTTTGTTGAACTTTTATCTTAAATGTTTAATTTGTAAACACAATAATTTATATAAGTCAGAAAATATATATTCATAGTTACTTATGACAAGAGCAAGAACTTTTATGCACTAAAAAATCATCAAATGTGTATATAAAAATATACATTTAAGCACTTCAATTAAAAATGCCCTCAATATATATATGTGCTAAAAATGATATTCTTTTTTTAAATATTTTATTTATTTTAGTTTATTTTAATTATTTTACTTCATTAAATTTACTATGTACTTATATATATATATAAAACAAAAAATATAATACAATAAGCACAGATCTAATCTATTCACTGACCACTAAGATAAAAATTAGTCTTTATCATTTTTATGAAAAATTCACAGTTTAATAAAAATGTTGATCTTGATTCAAGATAAAAATTTTCCTAAGAGTTTGAGTTTCAATAAACTATCAAAATATGCACTGAAAACTTAAAATTGCTCTTATAATCAAAAAATTACCTTTTAACTAAAAAATGTCAAACTATGGAAAAATGGATTAAAACTTTTAGTATTTGATCACAAATATTATGAAATTTATTAAGTACAAGATAATATTAACCAGAAAAAATAAGCAAATTTATAAAAGTCCTTCCTCTAATTATTATGGCCTTAATTTTAATAAACAAAATATATGTGACAAAATTGTATATAATAAAGAATACGATATAATATATTTGCAATTGGGAGAATGAAAATAATATCGCTTAAATAGACCGATGAGAATTTTAATAAACCTATACTAAAGTTCAGTATGGATTCTATATTGGCTGTATAATAATAATAATGTATTTTGACAAAAATTTAAAATATTTTCAGTAAATTTCTTATGAAATTGAAAAATTGATCGGGTTATAACACTAAAGATGTATTATGTATAATATATAATGATATATATATATTAACATTCTGTATATATAATGAAATTACGCGCACACAAAGCATTCGGAAGAAAAAATGTTTGAGAATATCTGATCTGATCAAAATTCAAGAACGGACACATTATTTGGTATGCATTTGACAAGCAGAGAAGAAAATATGCCGATAATAAAAATAATAATATAAATAATATAACGTCACAGCCTGGTTTATTCCAAGCAAAAATCGTGTTATTTATGCATTATATCATTATTTATTGATGGAAACTGTGTCCTGTGTGTGTGTCACCTATGCGAATACTGACGACATATTATAATACAATAATATTTTATACGTTAACGGTTAATGCAATTTATCTAACCCAAATAAATTAATATTATTATGAAGAAAACCAGAAACCGTAACGTTTTTATATTGTATATTATAGTATTATACCTAAAAGTTTGTATGGAAAATAATATTTATGTATAGGACTTGTATTATTATTATTTTTGTCGCATGGTTTATACTATAATTTTCAATAAACTAAAAATATCTTAAAAATCTAAATATGAACAATCTATCTTTATATATCTTTATTATTTGCTTCCATGTAAATATAAATATATATATATTATGACGTGTGTGTGTTGATTAATATTATTATATTTATTTTTTTAAATAATTGTTAGTATTTAATGATTCATCAATCGTCACATATTTTATAATACAAAACATATTTTTGTCAGATTAATTTATTTTTAAAGTTATACTTATCATCTATGTGTCATATACCTATGGTGATTTATTTTGCTTAAAACGAATAGTGCAAACGTTGCGGTGACGATGTTCTATACATGGTAAATACATATTGTATTAAAGCGGTCAGCCAAGATATTATTTTATGAAACTTCATTCATTATCAAATCGGCTACTAATATTTTATAATAATAGTTTATTCAAATCTTTATTGCTATAATCAACGCCATTGCGGTTAAATGTGGATTACGCTTTCTATCCAATCCAAGCGTGGTGTGAAACCAACCCAAGGAAAAAATGGAACTATATATTATGGACATTATACTATATGATACATAGACACAAGCAATTATTTACTATATATTAGTTTTGTTTTTGTGCGATATTGGACAATATTTTATTGTTTAGTAATATAATTTCGCATAATATTCATAAACATATACATATATGATCAATTTATGTGTATAGGTATAATACTTTTACGGCGCTTTTCTTTCACGACGTTATTCCATTTGTTATTACAAAATAAATGATATTTGATATTTTATCTATTGAAAAATAAATGCGATTTATGCAAGTAACGATTATAATTTAATAATGTACAAGTTAGTATGTGTATATATGTATTAAAATGTTGTTATATATATATAATATTATCATACTCAATGTACAAACTCCCTACGTATCACATTTCAACAGATGTCAGTATTTATGTATATATGTTATGAAAGTAGAGCGAATAGAAAGAAAATAATATATATATCACCAAATAATAGCACAAAAATAATTTAATTAGAGTTTTTTCTTTTTTTTCAAAGTTTATTTTGACGGACAGTAAATATCCCATGACTTGACAAATTACTTGACAGAGTGATATATTATCTGTACGGTATTGTTTTCTTCGCCAACGGCTCTCGTC